AAAATATCGCTCAAAAATATTCAAATTAATGAACTTGTTAAGGTTCTGCCGTAGGAGTATGTGATTGAGAGAGGCCAATGGTGCAACTTTAGCACCATCTTCACTACTGAATCTTATAGTAATACTTTATAGTATCAGAGCAACGTTACCTTTGTCAAAACAATCGACCATTGCTTCGAAATTAGACATTGGTCTTCCTAGCAAGATCAGCTCTCTTTCAAAACTAAGCTTTGTGCAGCTATGCATGGTTATGTATTTGTATTCCTATTTGTCCTGTATTTCTCATGTTCGATCTGTCTCCTTGCTCCTTCGGTTTTCTAACTTTGATGTAAGACCTTAGAGCATCTCTGATAGAGCGGAGCTCCTACCAGATGGAAAGACAAGAACTTTGCCACGAGTGTGGCTTCAGGGCCGTTTGGTTTCTGGCCACTACCAACCATGCAGGTTGTGGCGCCGTCACAGAAGTGTGGCGAAGAAAAAAAAGCCACCACAACTGTCATGAAAATCAACGCACAAATGAACCGGAAAGGGTGTGTGGGTGCCACAGCTTCCATGCAATCCAAACACCAGCCAAGACACCGTGAAAAGCCACGAGTTAGGTGTGGCGAGCGTTGGCGGGGAACCAAACACCACTCGGTTTTGTTCGCTACACTTTCTATGGCAGTTACGGTTACCGAAGGTTAATCGTGGCAAACTACGGCACCAAACAAACATGCCCCTAGCATGATAGTGGCAACCTTATTTTAAGTTTAGAAGACATTGACAATTTGCCACATTTCCGGTTCAACCTAGTATGGACGTGACAACCTAATTTTCAAGTTCGGAAAATATTGAGGCATTTTTACAACAAATTTACCACCAATCCAAATGCAAACAAAAGAGAAGGGCTCAGAGACAAAGTGACAAGACTGAAATAGAGGCAATAACACTCTGTTCAGATAGTCGGAGACCAGTGATTGGAGAGCCTCCTTGGATTTAGAGTGTGTTTGGTTCGTTACCTCCACTCGCCACAGCCCAGCGCGCTTAGCCTGAGCTATTATTGTTTGCTTCGTGACCCAAATTACGGCGTGTAGAACTTTTGCTTAGGCGATGCTAGTTCATTTCGGCGCCGCGGTTCACCAAAAGTTTGGCGTAGTTTTGCTCGCCATGCTTGTGGCACAACCACAAACTGCGGGTAGCCAAAGCGCCCGAGCAACACGTGTGTCGCCGTGTGTAGACACCCGACGCTGGGTGCCGCCGGTTCGGCTCGATCCGATGGACGCTCTTCCGGGGAGGGGGAGGAGGTCTCGTCGACCGGTGACCAATGGAGAACAGCGTGCTCGGGGATTCTCACAGAGTCACGCGAGGGTCAGGGAAGACGGGAGTGCGCAGAAATAGGGGTTATGGTCTCGCCGGCACAAGCGGTGATCTTGACAGCGGCACAACAGGCAAAAGATCTGTAGGAGGGGGCGACAAAAACGAAACCATCGCCCCAACCCGATATTGATGGTTTCTTCTGACCTTTGATGCACCTGCACACCATGGCTTCGTTTCTTCTATTTTTCTTGTTTTTTCTTTAATATAAATCACTTGTCACATCAATAAAGGGTTACATAGTAGGATAGTTAATACACATAAAAACTATACTAATTTTAGTATTGGGAGTGCCTTAGCTATGTTTTCGGCCATAAGACGTAAACCAAATTGCTTTGCCCTCATAACATAGAGGGGCTGTTTGTTTCTAATTAAAGCCGCGGCCCATTAGCTTACCACCCCTCCGGTTCCGAAGACCGAAGGTACGGTAGGAATACGTGACACACGGTACTGGTACGGCTCTACAGAACATAGCCTAGGAACAGGTTCAGCATCCCATCGGCCATGGCCTCGCCTGCCAAACTGCAAATTCCGCGTGGGAGATGGCGTATACGACCGATTCTAGCACGGGCCAGACAAAATTTTCGGCCCAAGGAAAGTTGTTTCTAGTCCTGTCGGCCTTGTTAAGTTAACCCCGGTCCATTTAGCCGAACTCGGGTCCGTGAGGTTGTCAAGAAGAGAAAACAAACTGCAGTCCAAGAACACTGTCCAATGCAGGTTCGGCCCAGGTTGTATTTATATATAATATAATTGCAACTCTAGAAAAAGAGCCGTACCCTTGTAAATTGCAATACGAACACGAGAACATGCAACCCATCGTTACTTAATCTGTATTTTCCCAATGAAAACACATTATTACATGTACAGAAAGTCACATACGTCCCTATTAAAAAAAGTCACATACGTCCATTATTCTATAAATATATATGAGAAGCTAAGCTAACGTATACGAGATTAACAAACTCATCAGAAGAGCAATGTTGGAAAATAGCAGACTACGACGTTTAAGTGTCGTTCTCAAGTATCGAAGAGTCAAACGTCATTAACTTTCACCAGATATATAAAAGAGATTACTATTGATAGCACGTAATAAGTATCATTAGATTAATCATTATATATTTTTATAATACACTTATCTGAAGACATAAATGCTACTAATATTTTTTCCATAAATCTAGCCAAACTTTATAAAATTTGACTAGCACAAAAATGTAGGCACCACTTAAAAAGAGATAGAGGAAGTACTTTCTAAGTGTGTAGATCGGGACCATGTTGCAAGTCCTCCATTGAGGTATGATTATGTCTAAATTTGGTTGTCAATTTGTTTTCGGATCGCCTATTTGATTAATTAGAGCTAGTTATTAGCTAAAATAAAAAAAAATAGCCCAATAGGGACACAACTAGTGAGCCAACAATTCTAAAAAAAAATTAGTTAGCCAACAGCTTGTCTAAAAAAATAACTCATCAAAATATATATTAGCCCTTCAAATTAGGGGGTATTTGCTTCACTCTTCACCTCCTAAATATAGTCCCATTTAGTCTCATTAATCATTTTTTAACAAACACTTTGACTAAGGGCCTGTTTGGTCTCCATTGACTAAAATTTAGCTACTAAAACTAGTGACTAAACTTTAGTCACCCATATTTGGTTCTAGAGACTAAAAGTGACTAAAGACCATTAAAACAGTTCAACAAAAGACCAAACTACCTCTAATGAATACCAAATAAGGGTGGGGGACCAGCAATAATGAGGGACAACCCTTTTTTATTGGGCACTTTAGTCCATTTTTAGCTACTCTTGGGTGACTAATGTAACTAAACTACTTTAGTCCATTTTTAGTCAGTTTGTTTGGCAGTTTAGTAGCTAAAGTGACTAAAATTTAGTAGCTAAACTGTAGTAGGGGTAACCAAACAGGCCCTAAATGAGACTAAATGGACTTTAGCCAACTAGTCACTTAAATGTTGCTAAATACGACTAAACCTCACATTTTAGTCACTTTTGGACCAAACATCCTGACTAAAAGGGACTAAATGGCCTATTTTAATCTCTTTTAGTCCATCAAACCAAACATGAGTGACTGAAATTTAGAAGCTAGTTTAGGTGACTAAACTTTAGAATGTGCAAACTAAACACGTCCTTAATAGACTAGAACTAAACAATAGCTTATTAAAAAAATTAACCTAACGCATCAAACAGACCAATGCTAACAAGACTAGAATCTTTTTCTAAGGGCGTCCCAACAGTTAGTTATTTGGCTAGCTATTCTAACGTGGACAGAAAAAATAGGAGAGAGTAGTCATTAGTGACGAATAAATATATAATCTATTTCACATAATTCAAAAATCTAAGAGAGAAACATGGGAGTGCAATAATACATAGAAAAATAAAAATATATAAATAGATTTTGCTTTTGTCTTTTGCCTCCACGTAAGCTAGGACGCGCGCCCGTAGCGGTGGGCGATGTCGCCAGCAAATATTATCAGCCTATTCGTTTGCTCGTAAACGATCGTAAATTTTCAGTCGAAAATAATATTTTTCTCTCACACCAAACAAGCCAGCAGTAAATAATCCATGATATGATACGGCCTCCCGAACAGGCTGTATATTTTATTCCACGTTGACGAAAATACGAAGTCGCTACTCGCTAGACTGCCGAAGCAGTAGGCTCGCACGGACTCCAACAATTTTACAGTCTCTGACACTATGCGCGCTCTCTCTCGTCTTGATGTACAGCTGGTATTTTTCTCTTTTTATACTCTGATACTCTCTTTCACCTCCACATCGCTAGCGATTTCCTAGCTGCCGTTGGACGCCCTAACAAACCACAGTCGCGTGATACCGAGATACTATAGCACTTTCATTTATATTTGATAATTATTGTCCAATCATGGCTAACTAGGCTCAAAAGATTCGTCTCATAATTTATAATCAAACTATGTAATTAGTTATTTTTTTATTTATATTTAATACTTCATACATGTGTCCAAAGATTTGATGTGATAGAAAGAGAGTGAAAAAACTTGGAATCTAAACAGGGCTTTAAGCAGGGCATCGTAGCCACCCGTCAAGCCGTCATCAGGGAACGCCGAGCACAATCATGTCATTCGTGCTCACCACGTGTCACCGCTCGGTTGTCGGCCCCCGGCGGCACATGCCGCGGTGGAAGCCGTCCCTATCCCTGCACGCACGCTGGGGGGACCCCCGCGCCGCCCGTCCTCCCCGCGGCGCACCAAACCAGCACAGCATGTGCCCGTGCGCCGCGGCCTCCGTCCCCATTGGCGGCCGCGGCTCAGGTTGCCTTCCTCGCCACGTCGCGCACGTTTTACCTTCCGCGGCCGCCGGCCGGCCGCGCGTGTCCCGCGCGATCTTTTGCTTCCGCTGCGGGCATGGCGTGTTTTCCTTGTTCCGTTGCTTGCTTCGAATCGTTTGTGCGCGGGAGTCCGGTAGGGGAAAGAGGGGGGGAGGGTGGACCGGAAAGTAGATCCTGCCGCCGCCTGGCGCCTGCTCGCGAGCGACGTCCCACCAGACGGCCCCCTGGGCGCTCGCGGCTTGCCCCCTGCCAAACAAAACCAGAGCGAGGTGGCCTTGCGCAGTTGCGCTTGCATTAAACTGTAGCCCTTGTCCAGGGGACGGCAGTGGGCCCAACATGAAGGGAATTGCTGTGGCGGTGCGCTGTCTTGCAATCGGGATGACGTGCCCGCTTCCCCTCAGCTCGTGCCAACCTTGACCGCCATTTGCCAAGAGTACTCCCTGTATCGCAAATTATCCGTCGCTTTTGATTTTCATGTTGCAAGTTTGCGTATAACATTTATATTTTTAAATAAATTTATTAAAAAACTAGATTTACAGATCTTTTCAATGATACCAATTATGTACCATAAATATTAATATTTTTAATATATATTTTATTAAAGTTGTTTTTCAGAAAACGAAAACGACATATATTTTAGGACCGAGGGAGGAATCCATTACTGCTGGTCTCCATTTCCCTGTATCTCAAGATTGCTCGCAACCGTTGGATTTATTTTGCAGCAACGAAAGGTCCACGGTTGATTTCGTACGCCTGATTCATGTGAGCCTTGCTTTTTTCCCGATTCTTCAAGGAAGCGAGAAGGGAATCTTTCTCTTGCTTTTAGCCCCTGCTCCTTCTCGTCGGTACAGAAGAAAAGGGACGGGAGCAAAAGCGGAGCGACGCGTAGGAGAGGCGAGAGGGGGGAGACGACAAGAACTCCACTCCCCACCCACCCACGCCGCTCCACCCCTCTCGTTTTCACTGCCCCTTGCCGTGCACAAAAACAACCAAAGGAAAAGGGACACGCTCTCGCCAACTCCCCTGCTCCACAAGACCACTCGGATCCCAATCCGAGTCCTACTCGTCGTCGACGTCGGCGACGACGCGACGGTCCCGCGGGCGAGCCAGCCACCCAGCGCCGTGGACTGGGGAGCCCGGAGGGATGGACCCCGAGAAGCGCGGCTACGAGCTCCGTATCCTTTCGCTTCGTCTTCGAGTTGCCGCTCCGTTTCTTGATTCGATTTGGCTCGCAGGAGGAAGAAGCCGCCGCTCTGTGAAGCAACCCGGGCGGGCATTTGCTCGGGCAGTAGAGTGCGAGTATAAATATATGTTCCCCCAGATTCTTGTATTCGCTTAGTCTTGGGCTGTTTCCTGTAGTAGATTCTTGAAATTTCCCGCCGCCTCTGTACTTCGTTGGCAATCGGCGTCAGGGAAGAATCGTTTTAAGCATCCAAGCTACACCTTAAGCGGTTGGAACTGGTTCAGTGAACAGTTTTCCCCTCTACCCCCAATTTAGGTTATAGTGCCAATTCGAAATCTGCTTTGCTTTAACTGAATGCATATATCTTTTATGATGATTCGGCTATTTCTGGCTCTGTTTTTTCTTTTATTTAAACGAGTAATGTGTAACGGAAGTACATGCGTCCAGTCCTGTTTTACTTAATTCTTCAGCCACTTTTGTTCAATGCAAACAATAGTAACTAGGACCACGACTACTAGTTAACTGTCCGGAAGTATGCATTGCTCAAACTTGACATCTCCTTAACTCAGCATCCCAAATTAGAGAATTTTGTGGCGCACGATGCTGATGTGAGGTCCCTGTCCATCGGCAAGAAGTCTAGCCGTCTGTTCATCACCGGCGGTAATGATCGCAAGGTCAACTTGTGGGCCATTGGCAAGCAAACTCCACTTCTGGTATGTGTCCCCTATGTCAATAACACTGCAATAGTTTTTGGCTACCCTGAAATTTGATCATGTTGTATTTCTGAATGGGTGTCTAATTGTTTGCACAGACCTTGTCTGGCCACACAAGTGCGGTGGAGGCTGTGCAGTTTGATTCAGCAGAGGTGCTTGTGCTTGCTGGCTCATCAAATGGTTCCATCAAGCTCTGGGATTTGGAGGAAGCTAAAGGTTTGGTTATATAATTATATAAGCCCCCCGCAGTTGGATTATACCCTAACATAGTTTCTTACTTAATTTATTGTCTGTGCATAAAATGAAAATGGCCATTTTATGTCGGCTCATCACAAATTCATTTTAGATTTATTATGATACAGTTATAAAGATGGAAAATGCTCTATGAGGATAATGTTCTGTTGCGTTACCTTTTCATTTTTGGTTGCCTGTGGTAGAACCATGATTATATGTTTGTTAAGCCTCCAAGTCATTTCAAAATGTCTTGAATGGCCACTTTTAACGTATGCGCTTTGGTGGTTCCATGAAAAAGGGGTTGGGCTCTACTGAGCTAAGGCTGATAGTATTGCCTGCCAATGTTGTCTTAACAATTTCTGTTAAGCGTTCTCGGATTTATGTAAGTTTGTCCTGCATCAGAAACTCGTCCAACTACATCAAGTTTAACCATGTATAGTAATGCTTCCTGTGAATGGATAATGGCATGCTTTGGGGAAAATAAATATATGATTTATGTTTTTTAATTGAAATGTAGTTGTGCGGTCTCTCGCTGGGCACAGATCGAGTTGCACTGCTGTTGAATTCCATCCATTTGGCGAGTTTTTTGCATCTGGTTCGTCAGATACAGACCTGAAGATATGGGACATAAAGAAAAAAGGATGTATACACACATATAAGGGTCACAGAGGAGCAATTAAAACAATCAGGTTTACTCCTGATGGACGATGGGTTGTCACTGGAGGGGAAGATAACATTGTGAAGGTGTGGGATTTGACAGCTGGAAAGCTTCTACATGATTTCAAGTTTCACAGCGGACAAATCAACTGTATTGATTTTCACCCTCAAGAATTTTTGCTTGCAACAGGTAACTATCTATACGTAGCATCTTTTTTTTCATCACTTTTGTTATCAAAGCATGACCTAATGCAATCGCAAGGAAAAAAAGTGAATTCAATCTTTGTTTTGATTCACATCTTTGTTGTGTAATAGTTAGAAATCTCATTTTTTTAATTAGAAAAGAAATTGTTTTGTTGGATACATCTGAGGTAAGTGAAATTTAAAGAAGTGGAAATGTGTTCTGAGTGAATCATTCTTACATTTTTCAGGCTCTGCTGATAGGACGGTGAAATTTTGGGATCTTGAAACTTTTGAATTGATAGGTTCTTCTGGACCTGAGGTATTGCAAGTTGTTTTAATCAAGTTAGATTTGCTTATGATTATGAAACTGATAATTTGAAGACCACAAACTATGGCTTAATTCTTTAGTGTGCATATTCTGTAGGCATGGTAGCTACAGTACATTATTGCTGATGGCCTTGTATTACTATCTTTGTCTTTCTTATAAATCATAACTGTAGGAGCTTTCTCAGAGTACTTTAGCTCACATCTACCTACGGTTGATTCAGTTTTGTAAGAGATGGTCTGACATCTAGCCTGAGCTTCACTTATGTCTTGTTCCCTGTTTCTTAAACCTTACTCTAAACGCACATGAGGAGAACATCCATCTTCCTCTTTTGTGATAGCTTACATGACTCCTCTCTCCAGGGTACCGGTGTACGTTCTATGGTCTTTCACCCAGATGGTAAAACCCTTTTCTGTGGATTAGACCAAAGCTTAAAGGTAGGTCCTATTTTCATAGGTTCTCGATTGATGTTTATTTGCTTGGTACCTGAGGACATGGATATTTTCAGGTATTCTCTTGGGAACCAGTAAGGTGCCATGATGTTGTTGACATGGGGTGGAGTAACTTAGCTGACCTTAGTATTTATGAAGGGAAACTCTTGGGATGCTCCTACCATGAACGCCGTGTTGGTCTATGGGCTGCTGATATATCAGTGAGTGTCATTTTTTCCATGCCATATGTATTTTCCTGCCTCTTCTAACTTCCATTGTTCGATCCAGCTCATTGGACCCTATGCTCTTGGTGTGTTGCCCAAAGCAAATTTTTTTGCTGAGCTTGTGCAGTCTATGGATGATAACCCTGTGAAACCAGTTGATAGCACTGCAAATTCTCGTCCTGCTTTAGCAATGGCACATTCAAAAAGTTTATACAAAGTCAAGGAATCTGGGATTGGTAGGTTTCAAACTGTTTATATATTTAATATGTATTGAGATTTTTCTTTTTCCTTATTACTGCTTGGCACCCATAGTGACGACCTTTCCCTCCTCTCTTTCTTCTGTGATAGCAGCTGAAAGCAGGGTTCGTGGTTCACATTTGACTCCAGCAAGCACAGATAAGATCAAGAAAGATAGGAGCAGTACTATTCCACGAAGACCTGCTTCGTCTTTAAAATCATCTGTTCAGGGTTCTACCCCGATGAGGCGTATGAAGCTTGTTGATAGTCCTTCCACCAACCCAAAAATCGTGGAATGTAATTTTGGGCAGAGAGACATTTCATTAACATCTCGTGCAGTGATAGCTAATAATTCTGCAACTGCTAAGAAAAGCAATCTTACAGAATCAGCTTTAGTGAAAGATATTTACACTACGTCTCAGGCTGTTTCTGCGCCTGTTGTGCCCAGAGACATTTTAGAGGACAAAACAGTAAGCAATGTTCGTAGAGGGACTGGAGACACAGCTGCAGTCCCAGATGATTTTCGACCTGTTCACAAAAGAAAGCCCTCACTTAGTGGCAGTGCTGCTGATAGTGATAGCTCATCAATATTCACTGAACCTGATGTTTGCTCAGAGGGTTTGTCTGGCTTAAAATTCTCCTTTGGGCTAACTCCATATTACAAGAAAGAAGAATTTGGCGATGTGGATAATGAAGGTATTGCACAAATAGCAGAAAAGATGGACAGAACGGTGTCGCTGGACCATTCTCTGCAGTTAAATGATGATAAATGTATAGCCTTTTCTCTTTGTTCTTAAACATGGACCTGCTGTTTTGCTAGTATGGTAATGTAACAGTAGAACTCTGTTTCATGCAGCCTTTGAATCTCCATGCTCAACAACAGAGACTGGCAAGGTCAAATATGTTAGAGGAGGTGCGTATGCATATTAATTGATGTTGTCAAGGATTCTTCATGGCCTAAAAATAGCTTTCTAATGATAGTGTGAACTTCTTTCAGTTGCTGTGCCAGTGGGGAAAACAAAGTCTCTTGTTGAGAGATGGGAAAAGAGAGAGTCTTCTAGCACTGATTATTCACCACAAATTGGTTCTTATGGTGATCGGGCATCAAGAAATGACAACCCTCCGTCCCATCTGGTATGTATCCATACGTTTTGAGTATAGTTATTCATAGTTGATTGTACCTCATCTTGATCCACTTGTATTGTGGTATCTTTACTCCTATGTGCTCTCCTAGTCTTGGCCATGCCTAAGAATTACAACTGTTTTGCTTAAACTACTGCAGCTACACTGGATCTTATCTATTTTTTTCCGTATTTTTACTTGCTATAGTAATTTTGCAGCTACATTGGATCTTATTTCATTTTCATATTTTTATACTAGTTATAATGATGTGAACTCTGAATCTTTTGAGTCCCGACTGCCACATGCATTTAGAGAAGGAAGAAGTCTATTTTTATCTTTGGCATCAAACTATCAAAATCTGACAACTTTTGCAAAAGGCTGGTTTCAAAGGTTGCTAGTGTTTTATTGCTCGTAGTAGCAATCGCTATTTATTTAAATTATCGTTTTGTGCTTTATTAAACCAGGAGCTCAACCAAAAGTACCCAATGGATTCTCTCGAAGGTGACACTAACCTCACAGATGCCATGTTCCACCACATATAGATCCTAATTTAGGCACTGCATGTCTAGTGCTGTACTTTATTTTGATCGCTTGACTAGGTCATAGGTTTCAAATAAGGCAGGTGCTCAAACATCATGTGATCAACATAAATTAAAGCGCAAAACGATAATTAATAAGGCAGGTGCGCATACATCATGCAATCAACATAAAGTAAAGCGCAAAATGATAATTTAAATAAATAACGGTTGTGCCCACGAGCAATAAAACAGTAGCAACAGGAACAAGTCAGATCCAAAGAATTCTAAATAGAGTACCAATAGATAGATTGTATTTTTAGAACAAAAATTGGTACCTGTTTTGTATTTTTATTTAAAATGAATTAGTTATGAATTTTTAGAGATTTAACCATATTTTTATTTAGAAAAATACATATATAGGCAAAATCACCTTTGAAAAGTTGTCCGGTTTTGATAGTTTGATGGCCAAAGATGTCTGGTTTTGGACTCGATGGCCAAAATTGGACATGAGCGGTAGTTCGATGGCCAAAAGTATACTTTCCTTTACAGAAAGAAGTAATGACAGAAAGTATTTTCACAAACTAGATACAGAATGCTGGGACAGATTGTGCTTTAATAGTTTAATGTTTAGGGAATTTATCCCGTATTCCCATTGGAGATTAAAGTTTTTTTTTTTGAACTGGATTGGAGATTAAAGTGATCCTGAAACATTCATAAACTACTAGTACAGAATACAACTCGAACATTATTCAACTTGCTCAACTTTTTTTTGTTCATGCTATGTAACATTCTCAAGAAATCTTTGGCTGTTCAAATTTGGTGATGATTGCAATTAACAGGCAGAACCAAGTACAACATATGAAAAGGATCTGTCAACAGTGGATGAGATGATGGCTCCTGTCAATTTAGTGCGGAACCATGATGAATTCATAAATGCTGTAAAACTTCGGTTGACAAAGCTAGAGGTGACTCCTGTTATTTACTTGCTGACTGCTGTTTACCAGTTCATGTGCTTCTGTTATGGAGAGCAGACCGGTAGAGGACCGGTCCACTTGCCATAACAGCTTCATTGAATTCTCTGTGAACTTACACCCAACAAATAGAGAAGATGTCATGAAGGAAAAATCATGCTGGTTAGTTTTTCAATATAATTAGAATGTTGAACACCAAAATGTGTTATCTATGGGGGTGTTTGGTTGCTAGCCACACTTTACCTTAGGTAAGTTTGACATGTTAGTGTGACATTAGTGGCAAATTGTGAACATGTAAACTTATTCTGTGGTATAGTCTAGTATCTTTCACATCCTTTAGGCTCATGTACAGAATACGCATGCTCCTTTTGAAGTAATGCTGATCAGCCTCCTACATTTATTCTGTGATGAACCAATATAATTTGTGTTCTATGTACTCAGATGATGCGGCATGTCTTTGAACAAAGTGGTATCAAAGGAGCAATCACTGCAGTGGCAAAGGTACCTGACAATGCTGTAAGTTTCTTTAAGATGTATGATGATTTTGCATGGCTGTACCTTAATCTTTTTTTTCTTTTTTAGCTACTGATTGTCGAGATTATGACAGGTTCAAGCTGATGTTGTTAGTGCTCTCAAAGGGAAGCTTGATCTTTTCAACCTGGAAATTTTCTCAAGCTTTCTGCCTGTTCTTTCTGGGTTACTGTGTAGCAAGACTGAAAGGTAATGTGTTGGATGTTTTATTTGATTGTAAGTCTATCCTTATTTGAAAGAGAGAACATCCCATGCCAATATTCTTCATTATCTCTGACTCATGCAAATATTGGCATCCTACATTAGGGGGGAAAAACAATTGATTGAGCAGTAACCGTGTCTCACAAAATGCCATTACTTTGCCTCAAATTTGCAGGCATGCTACGGTTTCTTTGGAAATGTTATTGGATCTTATAAAGATTTTTGGACCAGTAATTCATTCAACATTATCAGCAAATTTAGGTGTTGGAGTTAACATTCAGGCTGAGCAGAGGTATTGTTAGCTCATTAGCTGCAAAACTTAGGACCTGCTTGTTTACCCCCATCTTGTATAATCCTGCTTATACAAGCTCAAGTGATCAACAAACATTCTAACTAGCTTATATAATCCAGGCACCCCATCTTATATAATCCTATAAGCTGGATTATACTAGATGTCATGAGAGTTTGTTGTACTAAATCAAACCATAGAAGACAGAAGTCACTAAACCTTGCTTTTCTAATGCAGGTTGCAACGTTGCACACGGTGCTTTAACCATTTGCAAAAGATTCAACAAACTTTGAATCCATTGATTATGTAACTCTCTCCCTTTCACTTTACACACCATCTTTCGCTCCATTTCTCAATTCTGTATCAGTTGCTGCAATGGGACATTGTTTTCCCCCCCTGATGTTGTTCTTTTCCTTTTTGGTACAGGCGGGGTGGTCAAGCTGCACAACTTGCTCAAGAACTAAGTCTTTCATTGCAAAATTTGGTGGTGATCTAGGTCGGATGAAGTTCATGTATACGACAGAGTAGATACCATTCTTTTTGGCGAAAAGTGCCCACAGTTGTGTAGCTTGTATTTTGTCATAGCTTTGCAAGTGGGTCATGTAATTGTGTTTTGACTTGGGCTGGCATTCAGCCCGGTCCCCTGTTGGATATGTGAGCCTGGCCATGCGTCAGTCTGTAATTAGCCGCATCTGCTGTATGGGCAGCCCTGAACAAAGCCTAATTGAAAGGAAACAATCACAAAGGGGATCATTTTGGTTACGCCGCAGGTGATAGGATGGTTCACGTAGCATGTAGTGATTGATCATTCCAGTGTAATCGTAACCCAGTACAGTTTGAACGAATGAGGAATGGCCAATGCTCGGTTTGACTTGGATTTGATATACCAAACTGGCTGTTACATGGCCTAGCACGCGAATATGTCCCGGCCTTGCATTGTCTTCAGCATTATTTTAAGGATACAAGAAACAACCTTAGCACATTCTCTCCTTTATTTATATTACATTTTTATGACTTTTCTGGGTAGTTGCAAACCGTTCTGCCGTGTATCAAGAAATGATGCATTTTTTTTTCCCACGGTTTCAGTCCAATGGCATATTTGTTTAGTTTGTGGATGACATGCCAGGACAAAGTAACGTTCCGTCTGGGATTCCATTTGTTTAGCCTGGAAATTCAGTTTGCTTGTTGCTTAGCGAGAAACATTACCAGTTGTAAATATACTCCAATATAATCAGGGCCCAGCGTACGTAAACTTGGAAGCTTCTTTCGTTAATGAACAATTAAACCTGCCAGTACCCGTTGATAATCGCTGACAGCTATCTTGTCCTGCAGAGTTGAAAGAGACGCCATTGCGGTCGTACCGCCATTTTGTTCCACCTTGTCGGGCCACCCGGCTGCCAACCCGTCCCCACCTGTCGGCCACACACCGGCACGCGTAAAATCGCACCAGTCAACTCGGCAGCACGGGGACGCAAACGCAACGCATGCTGACCTGCACTGCACAAGGAGCAGGAACAAATCCGAAATTCCAAACCCACTTCGTCAAGTAAACAACACCGGCTAAATTAAAAGCGGCAGGGCGTAGCGGTTGGTCGCCACCGTCACGTTGAGGTTGGACTCCGCCCCCGTGCTGGTGCTGCTCTTCGCCTTGCCCTCCTCCGCCGGAGACCCCGCCGCTTCAGCTGCCGCAGCAGCAGGAGGAGGCAACCATGGCGGGGAGGTACGACCGCAACCCGTTCGAGGAGGACGACGTCAACCCCTTTGCGGTGAGTAATCGTTGTACTTGTTGTAGCTGGGTAGCAATCGCTCCCCTTAGTAGCCTTGTGGAAGCTTGTTCCCGCGCTTGCTTGTATGCAGAGAATCAGAGCTGGGTTTGGGTCCGGGTTTGAGGTCGTTGGCGCTGGTTTCTGGCCTTGACCCTTCGTTGGGACCCGTGGAAGGTGCTGGATGCTCGGATCTGCCGAATAGTTGGCGCTAGGATTGGTGGTTCAGGATCGGGTTCGGTTATGGGGTACCGTTTTGTGCTTATGCTTGCGTGGTGCTCGCTGATTTCGAGTTGTTGCAAGGATAGGGCTTGGCTGTGCCTGTATCTGTTCTGGGGTTTTCAAGGGAGAAATGATGCTTAAACATGGAAATTGATGCTTGGGTTGGAGGCTGTGGGGTTGGCAGCCGTGGATTTCTGGGGTTATATTAGGGACCTACTCATTGTAGTGGATGAGTGAAAACTTATTTTATGGGGGAATTTACACATAGGGCTATTGGCATCAATATTATACAATATGCTAATGGCACAAGGGAATTGAGGGCTGACTGCATATTTTTTTGGGGGTGAGAATTATTAATGGCACAAGGGAATTGAGGGCTGTTTGTAGCATCAGGTCTTTGCCAAAGTTCTTTCTCCTTGGGAAATTGGCATTTGGCTACTTGTGATCTTGCATCATGAGTTTGCGACTCTGTATGCCTGCTTGATGTGCTCCATCTAACACTTACAGTACTGTCAATTCAGAGCTTTAGGGCCATAGTTTTCTGATATCTTCTAGATAATGCAAGCCAAGCTTCCTGCTGGTTCTAATCTTCCCCCTGTTTTCTTTAACTATTATTTGATCGATCTTCCAATTGCATCCTATTCTGCAGGGAGGAAGTGTAACTCCCGCTTCTAATTCTCGGATGCCACCTCTTCCTCATGAACCAGCAGGCTTCTACAATGATCGTGATGCGACAGTGGACATACCTCTTGATTCAACTAAGGTAATAGACTTCCATTGTTTCTGTTATTATTGTGGGATTCTGTATTTTACATCATCTGTTCTGCCTAAGAAAAAAAAAATCTTACCATGATCTTTCATTCCAACACTCTTAAGTATGTAATTGTTGTGCATATGTGTTCCCTTTTGGATTAATTTTTCCGAAGGTTATGTACAATGTTTTTGATCAAGGGTGGAGGTCATGTTATTTACTTTTAGATGTTGGATTCAAAATAAATTCCAGATATTCTTTCATTGATGTGTTTATGGTTGTTTGATTATGTGATGCTTGTATATAAATGTAGGACCTAAGTAAAAAGGAGAAAGAACTGCAGGCAAGGGAAGCTGAGCTAAACAAACGGGAAAGGGTATGTGCCTTTGTGATTGAAACTTGAAACCACAATATGCACTTGCATGTTATCCTATGTACCCTGTTTTTTTTTAATCAAAATTCAAACCACGTGTTTACGAATTCTTGAAGTGGTCCTACTGCATTCAATAGTCATTTACTCTCCTGGATAAAAATCATGGCATACGCTGGATGAGGATGATATCTTGCAAGGCTCCTGGATATTGTGATTTTATTGAGCTTAAGTATATAGCAGTACAGAGCCAGCAAAGTATTATGTTTACTTTACTTTTCCAGTTACTGAAACAGTAACTAACTAACTAACTAACCAACCATGATGCAATATGGTAGCTACTCAGCTTAAGTTGACATGACACACTTAACAGACCGCTCCTAACCATTAAGTAAATCATCAATAAGTTCACCTTTGGGCTGAAACTTTTAAAGAATGAGGAACATGGAGAACATGGCATTTCCATGCAGCCACTTATAGTGCTTTTAGGTGAAGGATAGCAATGTATTTGCCAATTGCACATTGTTACTAACAGTTCTTCTACTCATTCATTCTTGTTTTTTGTAGAAGATTTGTTGTGTTGTTCACATGAGAGACTTTGTGACATGTTGTTCCAATATACTGAACCTAATAGTGCCCTGTGTCGACCAGTTTTACCCAGAATCAACAGTTGCTTCTGTGATGTTTTATATATTTGGAACAATCCAGTTCCATTCACACCTAAATTTTCAATTCTTTAGATGCTGACCTGATTTTCTTCCCTTTGTTTCCTTGATCCTCAGGAACTGAAAAGAAAGGAGGAAGCTGCAGCCAGAGGTAGATTATTACTTATATCTGGGGTTGACTTGTCTAACAGAACATATTTGATGACAGAAATCATGTGATGGTATAAAACTGTTAGTTTGTGAATGAGGGATTTATAGGAAGTTTCTTCGAGTGGTCTAGTCATTTATGTGATGCTCTATGGCTTTAGAGGTTAGGACTTTAGTTTACTCTTTTTTGTTAGTACTCCCACTTATTGGTGGTTTATAAAGGCTCCTTTGTTTGAAATGTTACTTTGTGTGCTCCATTCTTGTAAAAGTCACTTCATTTATCTCACTTCTCACCAAGAATAACTAGTTAAGCTAATGTGTTGCTTATTGCTCATGCTGTAGTAATTTTACATGTTAGAACTACTTTTAGTAATATGTCCCTTTTCCTTTCTTTTGGCAGCTGGTATTGTCATTGAAGATAAGAATTGGCCACCCTTTATGCCCATTATTCATCATGACATTGCAAACGAGATACCAATTCACCTACAAAGGATGCAGTACCTGGCGTTTTCTTCACTGTTGGGTAAGTGTCAATTACTTGTTGCTCTCCTATCGTGGAAATAACTTGATGAAAGAAGTAAATTACTTGGTAAACCTCATTTTTTTTTTACATCCACTATGTTGAAATAAATGGCATCGCAGCATTATCTTGTTGTATTTGAAACTGTTATTGTCACATGGGAAATGGCATTGTAATACCGAGAAATTTCATCTGAATTTTGACTTCAATTTTCTCTCTGTGCTGACTGCATATACCTTTTGAGGTAGAGAATTTCAAACAAATCCAAGTCTGGGCCTTATTTCCAAAATGCGTTCTTGATAGTGAATCCTGTGCGTTCCTTGATCAACATGTAATCAATATTACTCCTTTTCGGCATGGCTTAAATTTCTCATCATCACGATCAATGTCCAAAGCAATTCTCACAAGTTGTAGTTTGGAATCAGGATAGTGGTAGCCCCAGATGACAAGCATGCTAGCAGACATTAAAGATGGGAGACGAGATCTAGACACCATTGTGCATTTCCTTAGCATTGCTCGACCAAGGTCCTTATTGTGCAAAGTTTGATGTTATGCAGGATTGACAGCCTGCCTTTTTTGGAACATCATTGCAACTACAGCAGCATGGATTAAATCAGAAGGTGTGGGCATATGGCAGAGTACTTCATTTCTACATCTTGTGAACCAATTGCTACCAACTTGGAACTAATCCAGTGGCTCGCTTGAATAGGTGTCATGATCTGGTTGCTAGCAATCATCTACTTCATCTCTGGTGTCCCTGGGGCCTATGTGCTTTGGTATCGCCCGCTTTACAACGCGATGAGGTTGCGTATATGTTTCTGCCTTGGCTATTCACGCTCATTGCCACATTGTACCTTGCTCCATTTCACATTATGTTTATTTAAATTTGTACTTACAGGACTGAAAGTGCTTTGAAGTTTGGGTGGTTTTTCTTGTTTTACCTGGTAAGATTATCATCATGTCATATATTAGACTAAAAAGGCTTTTCACTCCTTGCTAATGATCTTTACCCCTTCCAGATCCATATACTATTCTGTGTCTGGTCAGCTGTGGCTCCT